CCAGACATAAAAGACTTCAAAGCAACCTGTGGATAACCTTTCCCAACACCTGTGTAAAAGGCTTCACAACCCCCACTGGTTTCGCTTCTCTGACTCCCACATGCTCCATCCATTCCACTATCCCCTCACCTCACCATCCTCATGGATTGCCCCTTCACCTTCACATGCAGCCACCACTCTCACTCTTTCTCGCTCGCACCCACTTCTACTCCAGCTGCCTTCATGCCTCTCTCCTGTACCACTCCCCCTCCACTTTCTCAAAGCCCCCGTCAGCCCCCCAGTAGGCAGTAATCCGCTTCACCTCGCCCTCTCCCACCAGCCCGCCCCCCACCACCCATGACACAGAGAGCACAAACGGCCTCCCTGCCACCAGCTGCTGCTGATGAATCGGAGGCTTTACTAGACCATCCCCCTCACGCCTGTCTCCTGTACCACTCGCCCTCCACCCGCTCAAAGCCCCCGTCAGCCCCCCAGTAGGCAGTAATCCGCTTCACCTCGCCCTCTCCCACCAGTCCAGCGCCCACCACCCATGACACAGAGAGCACGAATGGCCTTGCTGCCACCAGCTGTAGCGAGCGAGGGGCGCACATCACCACCTGCTGGGGCAGAGAAACCACCGCATACCGCTCCTCGTCTCCTTGAGGCACCCGCCCCATAAACCCTGCTGCCGCCGCTGCTGCTGTGTCGGCAGCAGCGGTAGTGCCGTTCGGGTTCCATTCCTCTGCCCAGGACACGTTTTCTCGCTCCTGAACCATCAGGTTGCGGGTCAGAACAGTGCAGGTCCCCACCACTGTCTTGTCATCTAGTGCCGGAACGGGCGGCAGGTGGTCGGGCAGATGGGACGAGAGGCCGCCCTGGCCCCACGCGGGTGGGACCCAGTCTGCCGGGCGGTGTTCATTGTTGTCTAGTGCCTCTTCTACCGCGACTGAGGTTCGCAAGGCTCCATCTACCTGGTACTGAATGCTGCAGGCGAGACGGGTGGTGGTCGCTGTAGAGATATGAGAAGTGGGGATTGAGGGGTTGGAAAGGGGTGCATAGGGGGGAACAATTTTCTGTAGGCTCCATCTGAATCTCCTTCTGCCTGGTACTGTATGCTGCAGGCGAGACGGGTCGTGGTCGCTGGAAGGAGTTGAGTAGGTGGGGAGGGGAGGGGTCGCATAGGAAGAAACTTCTGACGTTTTGGAAACCCCATAGCTAGTTACTGACTGAATGGGAATAGGTCTGATTCAACAAGATTAGGGTGGACTGGACTGGCTTACTGTGAGCGAAAAACAACTCGATGAAAAAAGGCAGCTGCATACCCCCCGCCCCGTCCGCCACCTCGATAAGTCCCTAGATGGCGTCCGCGTGTGGACAGCAATCACCTCGAAGAAAACAGTAGGTTTGCCTGACCGACTCACTGTGAGCGAAGAAGAACTCGATGAAAAAAGGCAGCATCATCCCGCCCGCCCCGTCCGCCACCTCAATAGGCCCCCAGATGGCGTCCGCCTGCCGGCTCACGGCGTATCGGCGCGATTTGCTGGCCACCACGTGGCAGAACCCGTCTGGCAGGCTGTGCTGTGCGAGTGACATGTCCCATTGCACGCCCACCTTGGGCATGTATGCAGGCGCCTCGCCCTGAAAGTCGTACCAATCGTTCTGACAGGGGAGTGGGGGATGGTAGGGGAGGGAGCGTACTGAGACGCCCAAAGGCTGGGCTGTGCTGTGCGAGTGACATGTCCCATTGGACGCCCACCTCGGGCATATACGAAGGCGCCTCGCCCTAAAAGTCGTACCGATCGTTCTAATTGGGAGGGGGAGGAGAGAAAAATGAAGGGGAAGAAAAGAAGACACGGGAGAGAGTGAGGGTGACTTATGAGTCGACTTATGCTGGAAGGTTAAGAGGGTGGGAGGGTCAGGTGGAGAGGAGGGCGCAGAAGGAAATGACATCTTGTCATCTCATCTGACTCAGATGAACATGATGGGATGGGAAATTGCATGGTCAAAACTTCAGCATTGACAAGCTCACCACGTGGGCGTGGAGCATTGACAAGCTCACCACGTGGGCGTGGAGCATTGACAAGCTCACCACGTGGGCGTGGAGCATTGACAAGCTCACCACGTGGGCGTGGAGCATTGACAAGCTCACCACGTGGGCGTGGAGCATTGACAAGCTCACCACGTGGGCGTGGAGCATTGACAAGCTCACCACGTGGGCGTGGAGCATTGACAAGCTCACCACGTGGGCGTGGAGAATTGACAAGCTCACCACGTGGGCGTGGAGCATTGGCAAGCTCACCACGTGGGCGAAGCTGCTGCGATCAGGTGACGTGGCCCACAGCTTCCGCACGGATTTCATGGATCGATTCTCGTCCGTTGATTCGAGCGGCTTCCACGATCGCCATTGGCCATGCCAGTTACCCATCATGAATTCCGGCGTGCCCCACCACCAGTGCTCCTCGGGAGTCATCTGGCGGAATGGCGCCGCTTCTCCGCCTTCCCCGCCGCCTGATGCGGGGACAGTGGCAGAGCCCATGGCGGCTGATGAAGCGGCGGAGGCTGACGTGGACGCGATGATGTGTGATTGGAGGGAGAACGTGATTGGTCGGGGAGACGATGCGCGATGTTTGCATGCACCTGAGGTATCATGTGGGAGGGACATGGGGAGACAAGAGGGAGGGAAGGCACAGACAGAACGCGGACGAGCGGAGCACGTCCCCGACAGTGTTCAGGCGGGACTTGCTGAGTGGAGATTCACGAATAAAAAAATATCGCTGACCCGTGCTTACACACTTGCAGCGGACAAGGAAGAAGAGCAGGAATTTGAAATTTGACGCAAATCAGGAAACAGTCTGGCCAATAGCTGCAATGCACCGCGGCACGGTTTTTGAGACGTCTCAAAACTCACCGCACGTTGCGGCTGGGAAATGACGGACATAGAAAGACCAGCACAATTCAAATTGTACCTGTCAGGATCGCATTCGTCGCAACTGGCCGCCCCGCAAACTCTGATAACGAGCGAATTGAACGAGAAGCCGTAACGCCGCGGAAGGCGCTCTCAGAAATGCTGCCGCTACTAATAGCCATGGCAGTCGAGGCGACAAACGACATGGCTATATGAGGAACGGCAGCAGGCGGCGGCTGTGAGACGATGAGAGTGTGCTAGTCGAGATTAGTGCAACCAAATTATTGATTAATCGTCGTCATCCCTGGTAGGTTCAAGCGAGGCTGTGTGTTGCCGATGGATGAAGTTACCTGGGATTCTAGATTAGGATAGCGCTGACGTGGCGCGACGTCGTTTGCTGTGAAGCTTTCCCCTATGCCCGGCAGTCGGACCACACCATACTGCCGCTCAAGATTTCCAGAGAAATTTGTGGGAAATGCGCTGCGCAGACACGACAATTCCTCTTGACTTCAATTTGCACTGCAAAGTTGTACGGCAAAATGATTTTGTAACTTTCATGTTACAGTAAATGCAAAACCATCTTCATTGAAATCCTCCCTTATTTCTGAAATATACGTGGTGCTAAAGAGCATGTGTTAATTTGAAACATAAGAAGGAAAAACAAAACAATGTTGGAATAAAGTGAATTCGTGGCAGAAATTTGAAATTCCAGTTTACATTCGTCAGCGGGGTTCAGGGTTTTATTGTTTGCCTCAAGGTTTTGCCACAAAGTTTCAAGTTCCTAAGGATTCTGAACCTCAGCTTTTCAAATGTATACTGAAGCTTATACCGCGTTTAGGGTGTTGGCTCTTTCCGCATGCTTATAGACGGTTTCTAGGACGTCGATTCAGCCAGCGCTCTCTCATCCTGACCACAGATCCTTCACCCAAAATGTCACCAACAGACGTTTCATTACCAGTTGCAGGAGGCGGGAGCTGAGGCGATTGGACGATAAGCATTAGCTCGAAACGAAGTGGCGAATCCAGTCCTTGGGATCGCCGCTGCCTCTTCACTTTCCGCAACGGCCACGCCCACCCACGCATGGCCACGACCCACAACACTTACACGCCCCACCACCACGCAGCCCATCCCGGACACAGGACCACAAGTTACGAAGCACAGAGAGCCCTGTAACCCTAAGCACAACAAAAAGCCCAAGGCCGAAACATGTGTGGGGTTTGATTTCGCTGCTATGGAGAGAAATTCGTGAACACTGAAGATGCGTCCGCAATCAGCTGTCGTCCTCCAATCATCCTCTCCACGAACTCCAAACTCCGTCGTTACACATTTCGTTCTTTATTCCCAGCCCAGCAGAGTACACATCGCATCGCAGCGCCTTAGCAGCAGTTGTGACCCGGCCACGTGTTAGTTGTCCTCCCGCTTTCCCAGTAGTCGTTAATCGCCACACCCACAACCAGTCGCCAGCCATATTTCGGACCCTTTCTTCTCCCTAATCGCCCTGCCCTCTTGTTCATTGCACGCCTCTTGCCGAGTCCTTGACTTCGAAATCTAGACCAGTTTCTGGGCCTCATGTAGGAGCCGCGTCGCGACAACGAGGACGGCTGGTTCCGGTCTCATCCGTTTCCTGCGAAATCGTTTCTGTGGCCCCCTTTTTCTTTTAACTCTTCCTGTCCAGCTTCCTTCTTGCCTTCCCTTCACACGGGTGGATGGATTTGGCTTTGAAGTTCTACAATGTACAGTTTACCTGCTCTCACATCCAATGTAGCTCAATCTTTGCTGGGAACAGCTGCACTGTGCAGTGTTAGCGGTGATTGAGCTCATCAGGCAAACAGCCTCACAGGAACTATTAGTAACAGTTCAGCCTTTTCACGAAGAGCGTTCGGATCTTCGCAAAGTTCCTTCGGTATTCGGGAAATCCAAACACTGTGTTCTCTTCGTGAAGACTGTCGCAAAAAAATAACGACTCAACCACCCACTTGGCCAGACCCCGTGTGTCGAAGTACGATTGCCGTTTCAAGCTTGTCGCATTCTCCGCCCATCCGCCGAGGACGGCGGTTCCCGAATTTCGTATCGTCGCACCTCCGTCGTTAAAGTTCGCCAGAACCGCCGGCTCGCAATGGGTAACTGTTTTTCGTCCGTCAACGACGACGACGGCTGTCGCGCCTCAGCGCGCGAGCGACGCCGAGAGTCGCGGAGGAAGGGCGAGTCGCTGCAGAGTGGCTGTCTTTCAGGTGTGCGAGGGAGCATGGTGGTGGGTGGCGGTGCATGACAGAGTGTGCGCGGTGGGTGCGGGGTGGGTATGCGGTGCGTAGGCGCTGTGTGCGCGGTGCGCGTATATCGATCTGGAAAAAGAGGTACTACTACCCCACCCAGCATCCGGTGCGGGAGGATTTGCTAAAAGCGAGTCATCATGGCGTGATGGCACCGATTCCAACCGATGATGTAAACTCGAATTTGACCCCTTCCAACCTTTGCAGGGCCGCCGGGCGACGCGGCGAGCAGCAAGGAGATGGAGCGCCGCGTGGCGGCTTATCTGGCGGCGGAGCAGCAGCGGGACGGTCAGCTGGCACAGCTGACCAATCGCGGGACGGCGAATGGGTTCGTGCCACGTGTGCCGCGTGCCACATCGGGCACGGAATCTACAAGCAGCGAAAACATCAGCTGCAGCGACAGCAGCAGTGAACGCAGTAGTACCAGCAGCAACAGCGGAGGCGGCGGCGGCGGCGGCGGTGGGATGCAGCTGAACTGCAGCATGTTCTCCCTGGGCGGACAGAAAGGCATCAACCAAGACTCCATGGTTGCATGGCAGGTACTACACAGTACCAATTATTTTCTTTTCTGGCCGCACCTCCGAGCTGTGCGCCGTGATGGACGGCCATGATCGCTTCTCTCACAAGTCTCCCCTTTCCCTTCCCCTTCCTCTCCCCCCTCCCTCCCGCCCCTCTCCCATCTGCAGTCCTTCGCAGGACCCGCCTCCGTGCTGTGCGCCGTGATGGACGGCCATGGCCGCTTCGGCCACACAGTCTCGGCTCGCGTCAGGGACTCCTTCCCCTCGCTGCTCGCCCGCCGCCTCTTCCCGCACGCTGCGCATGAGCGCTCGGAACACGTCTTAGAGCCGTCAGAGGAGCAGGGATCAAAAGACAAGTCAGAGGATCGTTTGGAGGAGCCATCAGAGGAGCACGGACACGTGGCGGAGCAGCAGTGGAGGGAAGCCGTGTGCGGCGCGTTCGAGGCCGTTGACCACGAGGTGAAGCTGCATCCGGCCGTTGATCCGCTCATCAGTGGCAGCACGGCGGTGGTGGCTATGGTTCAAGTGAGTTTGCTCGTTCTTTGCCCTCGCCTCCATCCTCGCATATCAAGATGCCTCAGATTTTGGCCTCTGCACCCCTCCTCTCGCCTTCTGCACCCCTCCTCTCGCCCTCTGCACCCCTCCTCTCGCCCTCTGCACCCCTCCTCTCGCCTTCTGCACCCCTCCTCTCGCCTTCTGCACCCCTCCTCTCGCCTTCTGCACCCCTCCTCTCGCCCTCTGCACCCCTCCTCTCGCCCTTGTCTCTCGTACCGTCGACGACTCCTGTTTTTTTTTTTCTTTACCAACGCCCCTTCGTCGCACCCATTTTCCCCACCTTCCCACCAGCACGACCACCTCTTCCTCGCCAACCTTGGGGATTCTCGTGCCGTACTCGCCAGACGAGCACACTCACCTGCTTCCTGGGATGCCACATCAGCTGCTGACGTGGCTCCCTGTCATTCTGCCACGTCAGCCAACGCAACCGGACCCACCACTATCAGTCCAGCCCACTGCCAACGTGACCAATCAGATCAACCCAGCTGTCACGCTCTCGAGGCCCTCGCCCTGACTTCTGACCACAAGTGCTCCGATCCAACGGAGGCCGCCCGGATCCGGAAAACGGGCGGCAGAGTGGAGGCGCTAGAGGACGAGAAGCACGTCCAGAGGATCTGGCTGCCCAATGAGATGGCGCCGGGGCTCGTCACCTCCCGGGCGGTGGGCGATTTCCTGCTGAAGGGATTCGGAGTCACTTGCGAGCCTGATGTTACCGTGTTACCAGTGGACGATGGAGACGAATTCATCATCCTGGCGACCGACGGGGTACGGAAATGTTTTCTGACCAGAATCTGTGTGTACTCTCTAACAATGTCACTCCATTGCCCTATCCGTCCATTGCCAAGTTCATCGTTATATCCCTATCTCTACCCTTCATTTGTAGTCGCTAAACAAGTCTCTCTTCATTCTCCCCCCTCCTCCACCCTCCCCATCAGGTGTGGGACGTGCTCTCTCACGAGGAGGCTGTCTCCATCGTTGCCACGTCACCATCCCCTGCAACGTCAGCGGAACGCCTGGTGACGTCAGCCCAGGAGGCCTGGGCGGCCAAGTATCCCAAGGCTCGGCGAGACGACTGCACCGCTGTGGTGCTCTTCCTCCGAACCTCCCTGCCGAACCTGATCCCAGACCTGCCGTGCCCTGGTCCAGGAGAAGCCGGCTCGGGAGAACCTGCCGAAGCAGGAGAGGGTGGGCAGTGCGTGGCATTGAAGAGTTCTTCAACTGGTTCGGCTGCTTCAACTGATATGACTGGCTTGACTGGTTTGACTGGCTCGACTGGAGAAGAGGTCAAAGCTGCGTGTTCTTCCCAAGAGGCTTCAAAAGGCAACAGCAGCCGCAGCAGCAGTGCCCCTGCAAATTCCCCTCCCCCACCCGTAGTTTTCGAATCCCTGGTTGGAATCCAAGGTCCCACCAGCAGCGGCAGCAGCAGCAGGAGGAACAGTGATAGCAGCAACAGCAGCGCTAACAGCAACAGAGAGAGTAGCAGTGAGAGCTGCAACAGTGGAGATCTGAATGAGCAAAGCACTGATGTGGACTCAGGCCGACGTAACGAACAAAGCCCTGATGCGATGTTACGTACAACTGACTCTGCTGTCACGCCTGGTGTCACCACTGCTGCTGAAGGTTGCATGCCTTCTGATGCAGGCTCTGATGCGGCGGAACAGTGCTTCACAGAGCGCCACGGAGATGCAGTGTTCACAGATGAAGGGCTCAGATTTCACCGGAATGATACCGTTGGTGACCTGGCGGCGCTTGATTGGCAGGACGAGCAGGTCCTGGCGAAGCGAACTCTTAGGCGAGGGTGAAGTGGAGGGGGAGAAGAAGAAGAATGACAAACAGCTGAAGCGGGGATTGAGGAGGGGTGATTGAGACGGGTTAGGAGGAGGGGTGCGTGGGAAAGAGGCGGCACTTGATTGGCAGGACGAGCAGGTTCTAGCGAAGAGGACGCTTAGGCGATTCCAGGGAGAGGAAGAGGAGGGAAAGAAGAAGAAGATTGACAAGCAGCTGAAACGGGGCTTAAGGAGGGATGAATGAGAAGAGTTAGGAGGAGTGGTGTGTGGAAAAGGACAAGGGAGTCGGGAGTTAGCTCGAAAAGTGTGCGGTCTCTACTTTGTACAGAAGTATTTTTGGGGATTTTCAAGAAAGATATCTTGGAATTCTCAAGATTTTTTCTCCACGTTTCCAGTCTTCACTGAAACAGTCGGAGTGAAAGGGAGAAGAGTTGTGTTGTATGCTGTGAGGCAACTCTTGACATCTTTGAAAGCCGCGTCGAGCTTGGCATACCAATCGGGAAGCGACAAGCGCGGTGCAGTGCATTCACTCTTGGCTTAGGCATCACAGGAGTGACTGGAGTGGAATGGGTTTTGCATGGTATGGTGTGATGCAGTCCTCTTCTGCGTGCCACAAGATGGGACAGACTACCTAGCTGCAGTCCTCGCCTGAGGCCTTACTGTATCTCCCGCCCGACATAAGGCTGCATGGCAGCTTGTACCGTACCTACCATACATGCATGATAAGGTTTCTTGACGTGTGTTTTTTAATGCAGTCCTGGTTCACTCGCACCCACATGGCGGTTGGTAAAGGTGTTTTTCTTTATGGCGCCTCCGGATCCAAAGGTGAGAAAACGTGTGCCTCCGCATGCACCACTATCGTATTATCATCCCTGTGGGACTGGTTATCCTGCAGTGCTGCATACAGGTATGGATATGATAGTATAGTACAAACAGCATCACTCACATAAGTGATCAGAAGGCTGGAAGTTGGGTTCATACAATCATGCTAATTGCATATAATTATAGAGTACATACAGGTAACATAGGTAGATAGGTAGGGTTATAGGTGGACAGCTGGCCATGCCTTCACTTATATATACCGTACCTCACATACACGCAACAGCACACGACAGCGCTGCACAGTGCTTGTTTGCAGCTTCAAGTGTGAAGCACTATTGAGAATTCTCAAAGGCGATGCAAGGGAGCAGCGGCCGATTCACTTCCCCGCCGTTTTGCGCGGTTGGGGCAGCTGCTGCAGGCGAAACTCCTTTGGAAATTCTCAAGAGCAGTCACTTCATGCGGATTCGGATGGCGGAGGCAGCTACGGTAGTTTCGAGACGTCTCAAAACGAAACAAGGGCAGTAGCCTAGCGAGTCAGTCACTCGCTTCACGCACACTCGGGTGGCAAAGGCAGCTCCGAGCCAAGTCCTAAAAGCAGTTGGCAGTGGCATGCTTCACGAGGAGTCGGGTAGAGGAGGCAGGTCCAAATGAAGCCCGGCACCAATCACAGGGCACGACCGCACGAAGGACACTTCGTTCTCCGTCGTGTGTGAGTCGCCGTCAGGGCACTGGGGCACAGGTGGGCAGCATGGGGGCAAGGGCGGGAGGTGTTAGCATGGAATAGTGCGCACTGCATGCTTCTCCAGAGCGCTTAGCTATCTGCCGGGCGCAATTCGCCATCAGGGCACTGGGGCACAGGGTGGCACATAATGAGAACGAGCGGAAGGCAACGGAAGGCCGCACCGTAAACTTCGGGCAGATGGAGAGGGAGCAAATTTCAAGGATTCCCACAGGTGAATCCAACATAGCTCATGAGAATTCTCAAAAGATTTTCTCAAGGATTCCCACAGGTGAATCCAACATAGCTCACCATAAGCTATGGTCGGACGGAAAGACCACAACCACAGGGGAGAGAGAAAGAAAGGAGCTTTGGTCTCACCATGAACTTTGGTCTCACCGTGAACTTTGGTCTCACCGTGAACTTTGGTCTCACCGTGAACTTTGGTCTCACCGTGAACTTTGGTCTCACCGTGAACTTTGGTCTCACCGTGAACTTTGGTCTCACCGTGAACTTTGGTCTCACCGTGAACTTTGGTCTCACCGTGAACTTTGGTCTCACCGTGAACTTTGGTCTCACCGTGAACTTTGGTCTCACCGTGAACTTTGGTCTCACCGTGAACTTTGGTCTCACCGTGAACTTTGGTCTCACCGTGAACTTTGGTCTCACCGTGAACTTTGGTCTCACCGTGAACTTTGGTCTCACCGTGAACTTTGGTCTCACCGTGAACTTTGGTCTCACCGTGAACTTTGGTCTCACCGTGAACTTTGGTCTCACCGTGAACTTTGGTCTCACCGTGAACTTTGGTCTCACCGTGAACTTTGGTCTCACCGTGAACTTTGGTCTCACCGTGAACTTTGGTCTCACCGTGAACTTTGGTCTCACCGTGAACTTTGGTCTCACCGTGAACTTTGGTCTCACCGTGAACTTTGGTCTCACCGTGAACTTTGGTCTCACCGTGAACTTTGGTCGGATGGAGAGGGAGCAGGGCTGCGACTCGGAGCGCTGGCAGACGGGGCGGTTGTTGCGGCGCCAGTCCGCTCCCTCCCGCTTCACGATGTTGAGCGACCATGGGTCCAGCGCTCCCAGTGCTGCCGCCGTGTACCTGCAGGGGGGCAGGGAGACAACGGGTCATGAATTTTGAGACATTTTAGAACCAGACGGGGCGGTTGCGGAGGCGCCAGTCCGCCTCCCCACGCTTCACGATGTTGAGCGACCATGGGTCCAGCGCTCCCAGTGCTGCCGCCGTGTACCTGCAGGGGGGCAGGGAGACAACGGGTCATGAATTTTGAGACATTTTAGAACCAGACGGGGCGGTTGCTGAGGCGCCAGTCCGCCTCCCCACGCTTCACGATGTTGAGCGACCATGGGTCCAGCGCACCCAGTGCTGCCGTCGTGTACCTGCAGCAGGGGAACAAGGAGGGGACAAGTTTATGAGGCAGGAAGAAAAAGGATTTACTATTTCTGAGGCGCCTGGGAAGCGACCCGTGCGGTGCGGTGGTTCAAAACGCACACGGGAGGGGCAAAACGCACAGCAGTGGGGCAAAACGCACAGCAGTGGGGCAAAACGCACACAGGTGGGGCAAAACGCACACAGGTGGGCCAAAACGCACACAGGTGGGGCAAAACGCACACAGGTGGGGCAAAACGCACACAGGTGGGGCAAAACGCACACAGGTGGGGCAAAAAACACAGCGGCGGTGCAAAACGCGAGAGAAGGAGAGGAGAGGAGGAGCATCTCAACCAGTGCAGACTACTACACTAGGCGCCTGGATTGGTTTCATTTCAGGGTGACCAGTGCAGACTGCTACACTAGGCGCCTGGACTGGTTTCATTTCAGGGTGACCAGTGCAGACTGCTACACTAGGCGCCTGGACTGGTTTCATTTCAGGGTGATCAGTGCAGACTGCTACACTAGGCGCCTGGACTGGTTTCATTTCAGGATGACCAGTGCAGACTGCTACACCAGGCGCCTGGACTGGTTTCATTTCAGGGTGACCAGTGCAGACTGCTACACTAGGCGCCTGGACTGGTTTCATTTCAGGGTGACCAGTGCAGACTGCTACACTAGGCGCCTGGACTGGTTTCATTTCAGGGTGACCAGTGCAGACTGCTACACTAGGCGCCTGGACTGGTTTCATTTCAGGGTGACCAGTGCAGACTGCTACACCAGGCGCCTGGACTGGTTTCATTTCAGGGTGACCAGTGCAGACTGCTACACTAGGCGCCTGGACTGGTTTCATTTCAGGGTGACCAGTGCAGACTGCTACACTAGGCGCCTGGACTGGTTTCATTTCAGGGTGACCAGTGCAGACTGCTACACTAGGCGCCTGGACTGGTTTCATTTCAGGGTGACCAGTGCAGACTGCTACACCAGGCGCCTGGACTGGTTTCATTTCAGGGTGACCAGTGCAGACTGCTACACTAGGCGCCTGGACTGGTTTCATTTCAGGGTGACCAGTGCAGACTGCTACACTAGGCGCCTGGACTGGTTTCATTTCAGGGTGACCAGTGCAGACTGCTACACTAGGCGCCTGGACTGGTTTCATTTCAGGGTGACCAGTGCAGACTGCTACACTAGGCGCCTGGACTGGTTTCATTTCAGGGTGACCAGTGCAGACTACTACACTAAGCGCCTGGAACAAGAAAGCGCAGCAGCAGGACAGCACGGCAACAGGACGTACCCGAAGGTGGAGTAGTCGGAGACGACGAGGCGGTGCGAGAAGGAGAGGAGAAACATCTCGACCAGCGCTGATGCGTACTGCTGCCTGTCGTCCTGCCTCTCCGTTGAGTCATGAGACTCGCTGCAGGGGAGGGGGTGAGGGAGAGGGGAGAGGGAGAGAGATGGGGAGAGAGGCTTAGCTGAGTGCGGATTGCCT